TTTTTTTTTTTATAGAAAAATACTCCTTCCTGTGCGAGTGCTGCTGATAAGAGCAGGCAGCACTTGCACCCGAGGAGAGGCTCCATCTATTGGTGGGGAGCGTCACCTGCTGGAAACCGGGTCCAGCGTCCCATTTTACAAAGAGAAGAATAGTTTGGAAATTCTGGGACCAATGACTATGAATGGCTGTGAGACCTGCCAGCATTGATTGCCCTGCAGAATCAGGGGATTAACGGAGCAGGCAAAAGTGCTTGTTAGAATCAAAAGAGTCAAAAGAGCAGCTAACTTGGAGAACCAGAACCTTGGCGAGCTGCTGTCACCTTTGACCCAGAGTCGCCCAATGTCATGATTCGGGGCTCACCACCCTCATCTGTACTCAACCAGGTCAATGGTTAACATGTGAGGTGAGAGAAAATATATACTATAGCTGTCCCCCAATGAGGACAAGACAGGTTAAAAAAAAAAAAAAAAAAAAGAAGAAGAAAAAGAAGAAGAAGAAAAAGAAGAAGAAGAAAAAGAAGAAGAAGAAAAGAAAAGAAAAGAGAGAAACAAGGATAACATAACCTATAACTGATAACCAACTTCCGTGCAAAGGGGGATGGGCTGGAGGTTTTCCCTGGCAGGAATTGGCCCCGTGGTGAACTGGTCCGGGTTACAGGATCCATAACCTTGCCCCCTCAATATGACACTAGCAGTGGGTAGATACTGCCAACGTAATGGATAAATACAAAAATGGGGATATTCTCCTGGAACTCTACGATCTAGCACAGGACAACCTAATCTGCCTGAACAAGCAAGATCAGATCAGGTGGGTACAAGAGAGTCAAATTTTCAGAATCAGAACATTAAAGATAAAAGAGCAGCGACTGGCCTTCAGGCCTGACACTCCCATTTCAAACGTGGCTCTTGATCCAGCCAATTGGACCTGGGATAGCAAGGGCTCTTCGAAAAATACTAGAACATACCAAAGAAATCTCCATAGCCTGACTGTGAAATCCACCTACTGAATGTTAAGAACAAAATCTAAAGGATAGAGTATCTACCAGGTGGATGAAACACCTCAATCTCAGCAGATATGACATTAGACCAATAAAATGGTTTCGGTTAACAAAGTCTAAACCAGCAAAGATAATGTCACTCCAATGGCAAATTGAACATAGGTGCCTTCCCACTAATGATTGGTTGATCGACAGATCGTCTTTAGAACAGAAAGGGATTGCCTCACAATGGTATAGATTCTGCAAATCTGCCTTTCCTAGTCGATTAATCCCAGAAACCATAGAGCATGTATTCATGCAATGCCCAGGAGCAATATGGCTCTGGAGATGGTGGGACCAGATATGGAGTCAGATTCGTCCACTCACCCCATGGCCTTGGGGATGGAAATCTATACTCCTTGAATCATGGAGTCAAGAACCAAAAGATGACTTTGTGCAGAACCTTTTTACTATTGGGAGAAGGGCAGTAATGTGGGCCATATGGCTTAAGGAGATGCACCTATGAGATGGAGAGAGCCAGGTTAGATGGCCCAGAATTCACTGAGATGATCAAACAACAGATCCAGACAGACATACTATCTAAATGGGAACACACAAAGGAAAGGTTTCAACACCTATCATCTAAATCTGAAATTCTTCACAACATAGAACAATTCAGTCTCAGCTGGCTTGGTGGAAACCTGTGAAGGAAGATGGGCGAAATACAGTGGGATAAGGACAAGGGAGGAGAAAATGGGGAATTAATCAGGGTTTATAGGTTGTTGTTTGCTGATTGGTCAGTTGTTGACCCATCTATTCCCCTTCGTCCAGCTGTAGACTTTCCAGATCCTTTCCCTCCACCCCCAATGACAATGGTTCCAATCTCCTGGTACGGTTATGATTAAACGAGTGTTAGGGGAAGATCAGAGCTAGTTATGGAATTYTCMTT